GGGGCGCGTACGGGCCCCGGCAAGGCAGAGGCCAGAGGTCCTGAGGGTGCGGGCGGGCGTCTGGATAGAGCAGAAGAGTTTTCTCGTGGCCAATGGCAGTCCCTGAGAGGCTACCAAGCGGCCCAGAGGCAGCTCCGCACTCACCCGGCTCAAGAGGCGAGGACTCCACAACAGCGGCGGTGGCGGCTGTGAAGGGCTGGGCGGCCGGGACTCTGGCAACCGCCTCAGCTCCGGCGCTTGCGGCCGGCGGCGGCCATTGGCCGCCGCACCACCGAACCGCGTCCGCCCTGGCCAATCAGCGCCGAGCAGCACCGTTTGGAAACTTTTTCCCAGCTCCCGGGGCGCGGCTCGGCCACGCGGCGGCCTCGGGTCGGAGGGGGCCTGTTACGTTCGGGAGTCTTTGGACGTGCTGCATGTTGCCTTTCTGTGACTCAATTTCTTCGCCTGTAAAAAGAGTTCATGATAGGATTCTCTTTCATGATCATTTACTTAACAAATACGTAAGTTTTATTACATGCCAGGCACTGTCCTAAACGTTTTAAAAACTAATTCATTTAGTCCTTTGCAGAACCCTGTGGAGTGTAATACTATCATGAAGGAACCCTAGTGATGCTATGGTTAAGCGTTTGGCTGCTAATTGAAAGGTTGGCAGTTTGAACTCACCCAGTGGCTCAGCAGGACACCACTTAACGTCAGGCCTAGTGCTAAAGAAACATGGGTTTTCTCATTTAGTTCTCACAGCAATGTGTTGTTCGTTTAACAAATATTTAGTATGTACAAAGCACTGTGCATTTTAAGTCAGATAAGGTGCCAGCCCTCCATAGACATATTGTTAAAAAAGAAAGACATTACTCCAGCAAACAGAAAAAGTAAAGTAGTTTCAGATGTTAATGAGTGCTGCAAGGGTTATGTGATACAAGGGGGCTGGGGGAGTCACTTCCAATAGAATGGTCAGAGAAGGTCTCTCTGAGGGGGTGACAATGAATCTGAGACCCAAATGATAAGAATCCCAGGAAAGTACTTTCATTATTACCATTTAAAGATGAGAAAACAAAGGTTTAAGAAGTTTAAATGAGTTGTATAGGGCTTACAACTAGTAAATAGTAGAATTAGACTTCAAACCTGGATTCGACTCCCACATCCATGTTCTTCACCACTACCTTAGAGGCAAAGAGATGTTAGCTACTCAGAGGCTTCCTGCCACACTCTTAAAATCCTTTCTGCTTCCCTGCCATGGTTAAGAATGACCTTTCTCTGGGGACCAGGTTTGCTGGTCCGATAGAGCCTGGTGGAACCACTGAGACTATGTATGGCCCCTAGCCGCCCTGCAGGTCTGGAATTGAACCCACACCTGTGGTTTCCAGCCAAACAAAATACACGCATATGAGTTGAACATATACCTCAAGTAGATACTCTCCTTGGAGAGAACAATCATGGGAGAAAGAAGGGCTGCTTATGCACAGAGATACAGCTCAGGCGGCAGGAGTGTACGGAGGGATGGACACAGGCAAGAGGTAACTATGGGGAGGAAGTGGGAGGGGAGCTGTTGCATTGTGGTAAACTGTGGTCAATGACATGAGACAGTATATGTGAGCTGTTGTATGGAAAGTGAATTTGGTCTGTAAATCTTCACCCAAATCACAATTAAAAAAAAAAAAAAGAATGACCTTTCTCTAATTTAGGAGGGAGCTCTGGTGGCGTAGTGCTGAAGGCATTTGACTGCTAACTAGAAGCCTGGCAGTTCAAACCCACCAGCCACTCTTTGGAAGGAAGATTGGGCAATCTACTTCCGTAGTGATACTGCCTCAGAAACCCAAGGAGGGATCACTATGTGTCCGGTCCAACTCGACAGTACATAACAACAACAACAATTTTACTTTGTTTCACTCCTTGCTAGTTCCTAAAGACTCCGAGACACAAAAGAGAATCCTACCATTCACATCAATAGGGTTAAAGATAGTACTAAAATGTCACCCAGGGAACTTCCACTCTGGTCCCAAACCCTACTGAACGTCTGCTTGACACCTTTGCTTGCTCTGATGCTTTTCCCCTTGAAATTTTATTTGGTTTCCACCATTCTGTGAGGTTTCTGGACAGGGAGTAATCTCTCAGTTCACAGATGACTAAATTGAAGCACAAATTGGTGAGGTAGCAGTCTTGACCAGGTGACACTGGTTTGATCATTTAAACTATTTGGTTCTCAGTTTCTGTAGTTTTCCATAAGAAAAAGGGTGAGAGTACTGAAATGTTTATCAGTGAAGTCCTATTTGGGAACAAGAGTTAGGGAAATGGGTTTGTCTTCGAGTAAAACCTTAAAAAAGAAAGGAATTTTTGGAGTACTTTAAAAGTTCTCCCTTTTTAAAATTCAATTTAGTTTTGGACTTTGTTTTAGTTTGGACTTTGTAGTTTTGGACTTATAATGACTAGGCAGAGAGCTTGGTTTTCTTCCTTGGTTCTTTCCATCATAATTTATCAGTTGAAGACACTAAACTGAAACATAACCAGAAGTCGCTCAGTGAAAAACTCTTAGTACCAGTTTGGTTAATTCAGGAGAATTGAATGTACATAAAGTAACTACTTAAACACCAAAAATTACTCTTCATCCTGATTTCATAAATGTGAAGATTTTAGTAATTTGGATGAGGAATTAAAAAAAAACACTAATTTTACTCTCTAATAAAAGAGTTTGTCCAGCAAAGAAATAGGGCTAACTGGGATTATACTTAAGAAAATGTCTCTCCTCTTAGCCAAACAATAGAAAGGCCTATGAGTTGAACACCTACCCCAAGAAGATACAGCCCTTATAACAGACATGCAGGAAAGATTAAAAGGGCATCATTTGCATAGGGGTAAAGCTAGACAGACAGGAATAGAGAGGTGGGAAGAACACAGGGAAGGGGTAACCACAGGGTGGAGGTAGAAAGAGAGCTGTTCTATTGTGGGGATTGTAATGGGTGCCATGAAACAAAATGTGTATGAACTGTTGAGTGTAAAATTAATCTGCTTTGTAAATTTACGCCCAAATCACAACAAAAATAATTTAAAAGAAAATTTATCTCCTTAAGAGAAAATTTAAATCACTCTTCACAAATATCTAATTGTAGTTCGGTTCTTAATTATGTGCTTCTATCGGCAAATGTTCTCTGCTTAGGCTAGTTTTCTATCAAAAACAAAATAATTTATAATTCTGACTTTCATCAACCTTCTAATTAATAGATTTATACACTTTTTTTTTTTTTTTTTTTTTACTGCATGTACTTGTTGAAGCCAGGCACAGCTCTAAAGACATGTAAAATAAAACAAAATGTAGTCTGCTCTCTACTGTTTTGTGAATAAAAACTACAAAAAAAGGGGAGGGGTTTAAAAAAAAATCCACAATTGCTTTGTTTCCTTTTGGTTTTCCCGCCTAATAACTAATATATTTTTGGAAGTCTTCCTTCCAAGGGGCCTCTGGGTGGATTAGAACTGCCCACCTTTGGATTAGCAACCAAGCATGTTACTGTTTGCACACCCAAGGACTACCTGTTTCCTTTTTTATATTTTTAGGTTATACGGTCTTCTGTGTTCAGAGCACTCAACTCAAAAAAAGAGGAAGAAAAACACCTAAAAAGAGAAGCACATTTGTTTGGTACGCTGAAAAAACCAAAACACCAGAAACAGGGTTTTCATCTGTTCTGATTTCTACTTAGAAAAAACTATCTACAAACATAGACAATGAAGATTTACTCAACAAGTATCTAAGCAAGCAGATGATGTGTGTACTTACCTGTCTTCTGGAAATTTAAATACAAACAGAAAGGATTCTTCAGCTACGTGTTTAAGCTTGCCTTTCACAATACCGGTCTACAAGGATGGATTAGCTTCGCCAGAAATTTCCCCTACCTAATGCATATTGCCTAATGAAATTGTCTCACACTGGAGAATTCAGGAAAAAGTGTTCTCTTTTGGCAATTTCTACTTACTGATTGTTTTGCAAAGTTTCTTTGTGTCTTGGCAAAGTTCAGAAATAAACTTGTTAGTACTCAGCTATCACGTCCTAAACTATGTCGAGATTTAGATAATAGGTGCTTTGTTTTTCTAATTTGCAACAGGAAATAGCGAGCAGCTGGCACTTTCAGAAATTACCGTTTTGCTTGCAGAGTCCTAAAAAAAACTTTCTATTCCAGGTAAAAGTGAACACTGTGAGACGTTATTAAAAAAAAAAAAAAAAAGACAAAGTCTGTAGCTTATCTATCCACTTAAAACACAAAGCATTACTGGCTTCACAAGGTGTTTGCAACTATTAAATCTCGTTTTTGCTCGCCCAACCTGTCCTAGGAAAAGTTGTATTCATATGTAATCACCTCTAGACCAAGACTTCCAAAGCCTATTTTCTTATTAAAATTACCAAGGACTTTCAATTGTTGGCGACTAATTTTTGCCAGCAGGGTCGAAACATTTCGGCCTGCCCGCAGGACCTCCAGGAAGCCTGTTATTTTTCTCTTCACTCGCCACTAGGTTGCACTAGATTAAGCATGCTCTGGAATATGTGCCATTAAAAAAATAATAAAATATGACCATCACGTGACAAGACATCAAGAAAAAGAAGAAAACAACATTTTCATCAGAATCCCGTTCAAATCGCTTTCTCTCAATAGACCGAGAGTTTAATTTTAATAAGTTCCCATTGGCAGTGTTTTTTTCCTGGTTGCACCTCACAAACTCCCTAATTCTCCGCTTTGAAGCTCCTTTCGACTACACAACGTTAAGGCAGCGAGAAGGCCTCCTTAAATTGGTGTTTGTCGCCAAAAAGGCCAGTGTCGACCCCCAGGAATGTCCCCATTTGAGGGTTTATCGGGAGGGGACTGAGCCTGACGAGGCTGCAGGGCCGCGAGGCCCCGCCCCCCCCCCCGGGGTTCCCAGCACACCCCGCGCGGGAAGGCTGCGGCGGCGGGGTGGGGGGAGGGAGGGCGGAGGAAGGGGAGGAGCGAGGGGCGAGAAGGGCGTCGGTTTTGCGACAGGGGTGGTGCGGTGTGGAAGCGGAAGTGGAGGGTGCGCTTGGCGGCGGCGGCGGGAGCTGTGGAGTCGGGAATCAAAACAAAGGGCCTGGGAGGGCGGGGGTGAAGGCGGCGGGGCCGGAATGTGAGCGGAGGTGGAGCTGGCGGCAGAGGTGAGTTTGCTGTCAGCGCTGGGAACTAGACCCTGACGGTCCAGCTGCTTTGGAGCCACTGGAGCTGGAGGGAGACCGTATCCCTCCTTCCTCCACATATTGCTGGGGGTGGGGGGCGGACAGAATTAGTCCTCGGGGGGAGAAAATGGGACTCGCCAAGTCGGACCTCATGAAGAGGGTTGGGTTGTATCCCTTTCAGGTCCGTTCGCGACTGTTACCGCTGCACCGCCGCTCCACTTTGGGTTATTTGGCTCCCCGCCCGCACCCGTCTCCCTGCTCCCTCTGAGGCCCTCTAGGTGTGAGGAGCAGCCCTTCCAGAGGGGTGTGCACAGTTGGAAGATGAAGAGAGGGAGAAAGGAGCGAATGTTTTTGTAAAACCCCTGCGCGTTTTGCCTTCTCCGTTTTTCATCAACCCCTAGGGTGTATAGTCTTTGACTTGACAATGTTGAGTTGACCCTAGAGCTTCGGCCACTCCCACTACTAATTGTAATCTATGTCATGATACACCTTTTAGGGTTTCCCAAGAACCTTTCTGATATTACCAAGAGCTTTCCAATTACATTTGTATCTTTTGGACTTCCCAACATCTCTGAACAGTAAATATTCTTCTGTTTTGCATACAGGGAAATTGAGACATAAATGGTATTTCTAAGCAATTATTGAGCACTTCATTCGTTCAACAATTATTTCTTGATATGTGCCAGGCACTGGTCTGTGTGCAGGAGATACAGTGTTGAATAAGAAGACATGGTGCTTGCTGTCATGGAATTTTTCTAGTGGGAGAGGCATATAATAAAAAATCAAATGAGTAAACAAGATAATTTTAGATAGATGAATTATGGAAAAAATTAAAGAGTAATGGGATGGAGCAGGCTGGTAATGAAGAACTTAGATAGGCTGCTAAGGCCAGGCTGCTTACTAAATGCTCTATGTGGATACGTGGATTGTGCCATTCAATCCAAACAGTCCTATAGGATAAGAGGGGCTACTATTTAGACCCACTTTGTAGATGGTATCTAAGGTTCAGAGAGGCTGTGAGTTCCCCAAAACTGCACAGGTAGGAAGTGGTGGAACTGGGGACTCAGAAGCAGACTGTCATGAAAGCCTGTGCTCCCAGCTATTTTCTGAATAGCTCAAAGACTTCTAGAGATAGTGACAGAAGAGATACTGCCACTCAAATCAAACTTGATTTGGTTACCTAGGTTACTTAGCTGTGTTCCTAGGACTCTTTGGGAAAATTAAAGGGTGCAGGCCTCTAAAAAGTTGCCAGCTAATAAGTTGGTGTTTTCTGTTGCTTGTATTGAACAATATATAAGCACCTTGGTGTGATGGAAAGAGATGAACAAGCCTGGTTTTACCATTTTCTAATTATGTGATTTTAGACAAATTACAAAACTTCCTTAAGCTTTTCTGTTTTTGTAAAACAGCCTAATTTCTCTCCTGTGTACCTCACAGCATTACTGAGAAAAGAAAATCAGACAGTTGGACCCCATAATCTGTTTTTTTCTTTCTCATGATTGTACCCCTTGTGCCAAGCACAGAACCTGTTATATGATATGTTGTTGTTGTTGTTATGTGCCCTCGAGTCAGCCCTGACTCATAGCGACCCCTCCTTGGGTTTCCGAGGCAGTATCACTACAGAAGTAGGATTGCCCAACCTTCCTTCCGAGGAGTGGCTGATGGGTTTGAACCTCCAGCCATCTGGTGAGCAGTCAAGTGCCTTAGCCACTATGATATAGTCTAAGCAAATATTTGCTGAAAGAGGAAATGAGTAATGTTAAATGAAAATGCTTTGTAAGGTATATTATACTATAAAATATTTACTTTCAGTATTTGGTCTTGAAAAAGGAGATGGAACTGGGCTTGAGAGGTCATATTCATATTGCATATATCATGAACATCACAAATCATTTCATTTAGAGAGGAGGTTGTTGAAGAACATAAGATCTATATTTAATAGGAAAAACAAATACATAATTTACCATCGGTGTGGCACCCACCAAAGCCCACTGCCATTGAGTCAATTAAGCAGCTGGTGGATTTGAACAGTCAACTTCTTGGTTAGCAACCAAATGCTTTAACCACTGCATGATGAGAAGTCCTTTCAGTGTGGCATAGTTAACTTTAACCCATCCAGCAGTGTGGTGTGGTAGGTACATATGCTTTATTCATCCCCTCTTTCAGCAGATATTCACTTAACTGTCTTCTGTGTAGCAGACCCTCTGCTTGGCACAAGGGATACAATGGTGATGGGAGCAAAATAAAACAGACAGTGGAGTCTGTGTATCTAATTCTATTTTTCTCAGTAATGTGAGTTAGAAGAGAAATTAGCTACATTTTACCCAGGAGGAAACAGAAGCTTAATGAGGTTTTATAACTGACAACATTTCTATAAAGGCCCAAACCAAAAACCCAGACTCGTTGCCATGAAGTAATTTCTGAAGGAAGCAGACGGCCACATCTTTCTCCAGTGGAGCAGAGGAAGTGCTAACTTTTCGGTTAGTTACCAGGGGCTTTAACCACTGCGCCACCAGAATTCCTTCCTAAAGGGCCAGATGATAAATATTCTAGGCTTTGTGGACCAAACAGACTCTGTTGCAGCTATTCAGCTGTGCAATTATAATGGAAAAGCAGCCATGAACTAAAAAACCAAACCCACTGCCATGGAGTTGATTCTGACTCAGAGCAACCCTATAGGACAGAGTAGAACTGTTCCATAGAATTTCCAAAGCTGTAAATCTTTATGGAAGCAGACTGCCTCATCTTTCTCTCATGGAGCAGAGTGGCTGGTAGGTTCAAATCCCTGACCTTTTGGTTAGCAGTGTAATAGTTTAACCATAGCACCACTAGAGCTCCTAAAATAGCCATAAACCAAAAACAACAACAAAAAAACCAAACTCATTGCCGTCGAGTTGGTTCTACTCATAGTGACCCCTCTTTGGGTTTCTGAGGGTATCTCTATGGAACTAGATTGCCCAGTCTTCCTTCTGAGGAGTGGCTGGTGGGTTTGAACCTCCAACCTTCTGGTTAGCAGTCAAATGCCTTAGGCACTGCGCCACCAGAGCTCCCAAAGCAGCCATCGACAGTATTTAATTGAATGAGTATGGCTGTGACACTGAAATTTGAATTTCATATAATTTCCTGTGTCATGATTTTCTTTAAACCATTTAAAAATGTTGTGTAAGTATGTTGTTAGTTCACAGGCCATTTAAAAACAGGCAGCAGGCCAGTTTTAACTCATGGGACATGATTTGCCAACCCCTGCTTTATGTAATCAGTTTTCCCATCTATATCTTAGATACAGTACTTGTATGGTTGTCTCTTCCCTTCTTGTACCATGTAGGTGTTAAAATTCTTGAAAAAGAGCCTCCTATCAGAGATGAGAGCTAAAATAGATTCTCTTCTATGTGTCCAGATGAAATTTCTGGCATAAAGAGAGTTAGCTTGGCCAACTATAGGTAAGAATAGATAGTCATTAGGATATGGTGTTGAGGACTTGGAAATGAGGTTTAGTTGTCCTCGCCATTGGCAGACTGCCTCCATGCTCAATGGATATAATTGATTTGATCTACTTTTATTGTACTATTTAAAACTTGGACGAGATATAGCCTATCTATGATTTGAGATTTCTCTACTTGTTTGATTTTTGGTTGTATATCAGATTGTAGTTTTTCATAATAAGTAAACTAAGAATTGGATTTAATTTTGTATGTAGCAGAATCAAATTCAAAGTCTACAGAGTTCACTCAGTTTAGATCTTCCATACTCATATCAAAGGCACAATGGGATAGATTGCTCTAAAGTTGATTTAAAAATTAATATATGTACATAATTAGTAATGAGGATATGGTAGTGGTTCTTTTACTAAAATTAGGATTCTTCTGTTTTGACTCCCATGTGTAAAGTCTTTAGGGAGAAATAACTAAAAAGAGTTAAGAAAAATTAGCGAAAAAGGTCTACTCAGGGCCTGAAGAAGTTGACTCCAACCAAAGATGCTACTCAAGAATATGCAGGTAGCCAAGATTACTAATTCCCTCAAGCATAGATGTATATAGAAAAGAAATAGGACTCATCCCGAGTTAATTTTTATGTGAAAAGCCATGAACATGAGCAATAGAGGATACAGTTTGTTTTAAAATTGAATCAATAGTATTAAATCTTAAACAAAATCAACTAAGTTTACCAAATTTTAGTAATTTAGAATATGTTTTGGTGTACATTCTACTTTTGTTCATTAAGATTTAAATTGTTGGGAGTTATCACACCATAAATAAAGTTCCAATCTCACATTTTAATAAATTGTAAAGTTTATATTTATGCAAAGAAATAACTTTGAAATCTTACTTGTTCCTAATAGGGGGGAAGAATGAAAGAAAAGAAAGATGAAAGAATGTTGAACCACTCTGTATGGCTGTATGATGGAAGGAAACGGAACTGAGAATCCCTGCAGTAGAACACTTGGATGGCTTAAACAAGATAATGATGCTAAGCCATGGCTTTGGAAATTCTCTAATTGCTTTTCTCCTCCTGAGCAGACATTGCCACTTAGTCCCCAAACGGTAACTATGTTCAAGACTAGGACAAAACAAATCCCTCTTTGTAACTGATCAGAGGTCCATTTGGTCTGAGACATGGTCTCTCCTTGGAATCTGTGCCAAGGTTTTCTATGTATCTTGCTTGTATTACCCCTTATAGAATATCATTATTCCTGACTTGACGAGAGCATGCATTTTTAAGGCTTGTACTTTCACTCTCAGTAACAGATGCTTTAAATATTTAATGTTAAAATCTCGGGAAGTTTCTCCTTATAGTCACAGATTCCAAAGATCAAATCTGCATTGTATAGTAAACTGAGAACAAAGTGCAAAATAATTTTATTTTACCATAGCCTTCTTGAGTTTTGAGATTTGTGGTCTACAAAAGATCAACAGACCTCATTGACAGTCTTTTTCTGTTCAAGATTTAAATCAGTCTGTGGCTTCTTCCTTACTTTTGCTTTTCATAGTGATTTTGACATTTTGAGATACCATTTCATGTACTCATGGTTACCATCTTTTATTTATTTATTTTTATTTTTGTCTTTTTTTTCTGTTGAAATTGGAATTCAAATGAGACTTTTATGTAGGGATACTACTTTTTTATATAAGGTTATAACTTATAAATAAAATCACTTAAATTCTCTGTCTTCTCCAGGTTGCTACCATATAATTATCTTTGTTGCATGGCATCAAGTAATTTGATCATTTCAGAAGTGTTTTACTGTAGGGACAGTTGACGGTGAGGATCGACAGCTCAAGTACCACTTCCTTGGGGTGGCAGATCTGGTCCTCATGTAGTCACACAATTCATAATTGCACTGTCAACCTTATAGATACAGAAATTCAGTTTGTCAGTGGCATCTATAACTAAATAGATTCAAGGATACCAACTCACCCATAATTGCTTGATCTATATAAACCAGAGTGTCAGTGTATTAAGTTTCAATCTAAGCTGCAAATACCAAGAGGGCAGAGTATACTGCTCCATTGACTAGTCAGCCCATTGCTATTACCTACCTTCCTTTTAAGGAAAGTCTAGCTAGAAATTTAGATTTCTCCCACAAGAATTCCCATATAACCATAGAATCACTAGAAAGGAGTGACATTTAGTAGCCAGTTGACCCTTTCTATGCTCTGAGGGATGATACTGTATCAGGGCATCTTTTTCTTTTTCTTCGTTAATTTTTTTTTAGGGCATCCTCTTCTATTTATTAGTTCTTTTAATTAGCCCATGCAAAAAACTAGACCCACCACTGTTTAGTTGATTCTGACTCATAGTGACCCTGTAAGACAAAGTAGAACTGCCCTGTAGGGTTTCTAAGACTAAATCTTCACAGAAGCAGACTGCCACATCTTTTTCATGCAAAGCAGCTGGTGGGTTTGCACTGCCGACTTTTTGTTTGGCAGCTGAGTGTTTTAATCACTGTACCACAGGGCTCAGTCAGCCCATAAGTGCTACTAATTAGTAAGATCGCTTTTCAGTGGTCAGGTGCTGTGCTAAGTGCTGCTGCTTGTTACTGTGTTTCTATACTACCTGTTTTGTCTTCAAGGAGCTGTGGTATTGCAGAGGTTAAAGCATTTGAGATTGGTGGCTTGAACCCACCAGCTGCTCTGAGGGGAAAGATGAAGCGATCTACTTCAATAAAGATTTATAGCCTGGAAACTTTTTGGAGCAGTTCTACTCTGTCGTATAGGGTCGTTGTGAGTTGGAATCGACTCAGTGGAAGTGGGTTTGGTTTGGGTGGTGTTGTCTTCAGAAGAACCTATGAGGCAAAGGATAGTTATCAAAGGGAAGTCACTGAGATGTAATTGGTTAATCTGCCTTGCTGAAGACGTGGAGGCACAGTGTCACCCCTGGCTCTCTACCCCCAGCCTCTTAAAACTCAGGAAGAACACAGCCTTATTTTAGTTATCTGTTTCCGTGTTCAATTCCTGCATGTCTTTGAGGAATTCCTCTAGTTTAAAAATCTCTTGCCACTGAATCAATTCTGACTCACAGCAATCCTACAGGACAGTAGAACTGCTGCATACAGTTTCTAAGATGTAATCTTTAAGGAAGCTGATTGCCACGTCTTTTTCCCACTGAATGTCTAATGGATTCAAAGCTCTAACTTCTCTGTTAGCTGCAGAGTGCTTAACACTACACCACCAGGGCTCCCTACCTCTAGTTTAGTTTAGTTAGCTGCTATTCTATTTTGTTTGGTTATGATCAAGTGTTAGAAACAGAATTGAACACTATTTCTGCTTTTTAATGCAACAGGATGTGAGTAGCCAAAAATCTGTGGCCTCATAAAATTAACTTGCATTCTGATTTTCTTTTCTCAGAAAGATTACATGGAGAACAAGAAAGCTGCTGTGGAATTAAAGGATGTACCATCTCCCCTTCATGCTGGCTCTAAACTTTTTCCAGCAGTCCCACTTCCAGATATTCATTCTCTTCAGCAACCTAAAATACAACTTTCAACTGTCCCCAAAGTAAGCTGCTGTGCTCATTGCACTAATGAACCCTCCACGTCGCCAATGCATTTTGGTGGTGGTGGTGGTGGTAGTGGAGGTACTGGTAGCTTGATTCACACGGGCGCACTGTTAGACTCGCAAAGCACCAGGACAATCACGTGTCAAGTAGGGTCAGGGTTTGCTTTCCAGTCTGCCTCGTCACTCCAGAATGCCTCAGCTAGGAACAATTTGGCAGGCATTGCAAGTGACTTTCCCAGCATGTGTCTAGAAAGTAACCTATCTTCCTGCAAACACCTGCCCTGTTGTGGAAAACTCCATTTCCAATCATGTCATGGTAATGTGCACAAGCTGCATCAGTTTCCAGCTCTCCAGGGCTGCCCCTCTGCGGCTGGCTATTTCCCTTGTTCTGATTTCACGAGTGGGGCTCCAGGGCATTTGGAAGAGCACATTTCACAGTCGGAACTAACGCCTCACTTGTGCACCAACTCTTTGCACCTAAATGTGGTACCACCGGTTTGTTTAAAGGGCTCACTTTACTGCGAAGACTGTTTAAACAAGGTTTGTATCTTTCTCTTTTTTATGCTGGGTGCAGCTGAGGTTTAGCTTTCTTGCCATCTGTATAACTTCTGGTTCTGAAGGAACCAAATGGTAATTAATAAAGGGACAATTCAAATGAGTGCAGAGTAAGTAAGTACTCAGTACTCTCACAGCCTCTTATCACAGTGAATCTATTTCCTACATGTGAACTGAATTTGGCAAAGCCTTGGGGTTCTGTTTTGTCTTTAAGGACTAGAGCACAATTCTGATTTCTTATGACTTAGACACAACTTAAATACATGGGCCTCTTCATGCAGTGTAGGTAACATCCTCTTGTCCTTTTATAGTAACACAGAGAACTTGAAACTTAGCCTCAGTCCCACCAGTGTTCAAGTGAAGATTTTAATCCCCTTTATGCAAAGTATGCAATGTGTATGAGGCCTATTTTGCAGAAGACACATGGCCAACAAGTAAATATTCTGATCATGTGACTATTTTAAGTCACTTGAAATGAGTTTATGAATAAATAGCTAATGGTTCTGGGAAAGATAATTTAAGAAAATACATTTTATCAGAGGTTAGCAGATGGAAAGGTAAAACAGTGTATTTGCAGTTGTTGTGTGTTTAGGTTCTAAAGTGATGTATCTGAAACCTCCCCTTTTTTAAAAAAATTTTAAAACAGCCGGCAAGAAATAATATAATTGATGCTGCTAAAGTCTGGCCAAATATACCACCTCCAAATACTCAAACTGCACCTATCGCTATCCCTCTGTGTAATGGCTGTGGAACCAAAGGAACAGGAAAGGAGACCACGTTGTTATTGGCGACCAGTCTAGGCAAAGCTGCTTCGAAATTTGGTAAATGACAGCATCGTATAAAAATTGCATATTTAAATAGTTTTCAATATCTGATACTAACATTGCATTTAATCACCTTTAAAGGAGGATTCCTTATTCTTCTAAGGCTGCTGTGTATGTTAATGGGCAAGTCTCCATTTCCATCTCTTGATAACATTCTTGTTATATGACCTTTATGATGGGCAGTGACTGCTTGAAATCAGAAGTCTAGCTGTTTATAGAAAAATGGGCAGCATATTGACTGGCCAATCTATTTCTGTAAAGATTTACCGCCTCAGAAACCCAATGGGGGTCGCTATGAGTTGGAATCAACTCATCGGCAGTGGGTTTATTTCTGGTTTATTAGAAGAAATAAGTGCTAGAGGCTTGTGATCACACTTGTTGATCATATGCTTCCTAGAAGGAGTAAAGATTTAGTAATGGCTGATTAAAAACAGTATTTGAAAACCTAAGAGGTCTCAGTTAAAATAATTTTTCCAAAAAGTAGTTAATGTGTTATTTTATATTTTGAAAACATTTTAAAAAGGTTACATCTGAGGCTAATGCAGTGTTAAAAATAATGGAAAATCTGCAATAGTAACTTCACCCTTTCTTACCTCTTCAGTGTTTTCTGTGCTGAGTAGGTAGATGAGTATGGGCTGATCATGACAATCAGGCCCCAGAGCTGTAGCAGCCCTTCAGTTACGGACTCAGAAATGCATAACTGGTCAGCCTGAGAATGGCTCATGCTTTGAGATTGATTTATTGTGGGCTTAAACTAACTTGACCTTTAGATTTGTTGTCCCCTGTAAAACAGGAATAATATCTTAGAATGATACTGTGGCAACTGAGGGTTGTTTGTCTTACAAGGTCAACCACTGAGGTTGGTATCTTTAAACTTGACATCAATCATTAATTTTGTTTTTCTGCTACCAAGAATGATATAGGTAGATACCCATTGCTTTATTATCATCTGCCATTTCTTTTTCACTATGTGTAATTGAAAGTGTTAATATTTCTTAAGGGTCACCAGAAGTTGCAGTAGCTGGACAGACGCTAGAAAACTTACCCCCAATTGGAGTTTTTTGGGATATTGAAAACTGCTCAGTTCCCTCTGGCCGGTCAGCTACTGCTGTTGTACAAAGAATCCGTGAGAAGCTTTTTAAAGGCCACAGAGAGGCAGAATTCATCTGTGTGTGTGACATCAGTAAAGAAAACAAAGAAGTTATTGAAGAGCTGAATAACTGCCAGGTAAAAAAAAAGGGGAGGGATCTTAATCTGCCATGGTGAAGGAATAAGCACACATGATTTTCTTTTAAGAATTCCAATTCAAAATTTATTTAATAACATTTTTGGATTTGTGCTAAGTGCAAATTAAAGAAACACACACACAGAAGGTGATTTTTTAAATTACTAGAAATCATTTTATAATTTTTAACCACTCAGTGGTGCTACTTAACTTATACTTAATTAGTGCTTTACTACTTATAATGGTTACATAAATATTGTTTCTGTTGTTCTTAGTAACTGCTCTGTGAATAAGACACGTAGGAGTTATTTTTAATTTATAAATGGAGCTGAGGTTAGGCAGCTTTTTTAAGATGATATGGCCAGTAAGTAGAAGTTCCAGCATTTATTTTATTTTACTTTTTTTGGGATTTGGGTGAAAGTTTACAGAGCAAATTAGTTTTCCAGTCAACAATTCATACAGTTTTGTGACGTTGATTGAAATTCCCACAGTGTAACAGCACTCTTCTCAGCTCCCCTGTGTTTACCATTTCCCTTCGTCCTTCTTTCTTGTCCCTCCCTGCCTTCTTAGCTTTATCTGGGCAAATGCTGTTCTTGCTTGATCTCGTGTGGTTGATCTAAGGAGTATGTACCTCCCTGGTGGTGGAGTTCACCTTATGGGCCTAGCTGTACTCTGGCTGGAAGTTGAGCCATGAGGGTAAGCTCAGTTCCAGGCTTGAAGTATGTGTAAGGGCCATACCTCAGGGATTCCACCAGTCTTGATCAGACCAGTATGTCGTTGTTGTTGTTAAGTGCCGTCGAGTTGTTTCCGACTCATAGTGACCCCATGCACAGCAGAATGAAACACTGCCCGATCCCGCGCCAGCCCCACAATCCCTGCTATACTTGAGCC